GTACATTGAAGAAATGGTCTCCTGTTGTTTGACAGATTTCCTCTGCATCCAAGGAACTTTTAAAATAAACACCATTCAGAGATACCTGACTGTATCATAATTTCCTCATTCCTAATGAATACAATCTGCAAAGTTCTGTTTTAACTCTAACAATCAGGTCAAGAGAGGGAGTACAAATTTTCATCCATTTCTGTTTAAGGCTGGATTTCTGCTAGTGGTCTGAAAGTAAAAGATTTTCTAGTTTATTGTCAATATTCTGACCCATGCAGTTGCCACTTTTTGCTTCTGCTACAACCCTTCAAAATAAGCTCTGGACTTGGAAACACGGTAGTTTGCACTAAGTCCCTCTTTTAATCTTCCTTTTTTCACCTTTTCTTTACAAGTAATTTCTTTACTTGTGTGTTCAAAGAAAAGCTTGCATTAATTTCAACTAGGAGAGCAATATTTAGAGTTCTTTTTATGATGCTGTGTTCCTGGCTTTTGTAAACATTAATAGAGAATGATGTAAAAGATAATTTAAATGCCATTATTGCTCTGGCAGGACAGGCTGAGGATATTCCAAATCCACAAAGAAATGTAGTTTAAATGTGCATGCAGATTGGTAAAAATACAGAGTACTGGTTTACTGATTTTATGAACTACATGTGTGGAAAACACTGTGCTTGTTATTAAAAAAAACCAAAAGACAACCAGCCAAAAAAGCCCAAACTGTACAAGAATGTCATTATATCTGGAGTATTTTTTTCTTGCAGACCCTGCCATTCCAGTTTGTAATAGCAAGCACTGCTAGTTTGTTATATAGGGAGATGGACTCACACTGTCTTGCGAGGAGAATTGAACCTCTTTGAAGGTTTGTAAAGTTTCTTTCTGCCTCAGAGGACACGGTGCAGTCAGTGTGACAGAGAGGCTCAGAGCTGTCACATCTCCGGGCAAGTTAGAGCCATCACAGTTGTGCCAGAGCAGCTCTTTCCTCCTGTGCTGCTGCTCTTCCTAACAGCTCTAAATGTACAAGAGGATCTAAAGAACTACACATTTTAGGGAAGGACATGTAAATCTGCTCCAACCTTTTTCTGTCCTCCTTATTATGTCACTTCCTCATGTAAGACTCTTGTTTTCTTTGGAAAACTCTCTTTTCGTTTCTCAAAAAAAATCTCCTTACGTGTTTTGTCTTGGTGTTCTCTAGATGCATGGGCCAGGACCAAGTGTGAGTCTATGGTTATAAAACCAGTTTCATGCACAAATGACTCAGCTTTGTTCTGTGAAAGACCATGAGAAGGCAGATGTCAGGGTAGATGATTTAAAAATAAAATTAGTGCTGTTAATCATGTTCATTTTCAGCAACTGTCAGTGATCTGAAGACTAGAAACTTGTTTGTTTTTTTTTTTTTCTGAGTGGAAAATGGGGTCTTGATGTATGAATTAGGTTCCAGAACTGGAACCAAATATTGCAGTATTTTTTTCTCAGCTGTGCTAAAGTTACTCTCCATCTCTTTAATAACCTCTCAGCCTTGGGCACATGAGAGAGCTTTTGGCCATCCAGCTGGTGTGGTTTTGTGACTGCAGTCAGTGGGAAGGCGACAAAAGCCTGCCCTAAGTTACATCCTCCCACTGCAAAGGCAGCTGCCATGCACCAGTCAGTACCAACCCTGAGATCATTAATTCTTCTGCTGATAAAGTGCCACCACTAAAGGTTCTACCTTTAATGAACGAAGAAATCACTTTCACTTCCAGCCAAAGCCAGCTGTATATGATTTCACTGGAGACACAGTTTTTTTTCAATATTTATCATACTACAGCACACCTCAAAATACAGCTGGACACTATGAATTAACTGTGCTTTTTCATCATATTTGTATAGGGTATTATTTCAGTTGTTTAGATTTAGGCTTTTTGATAAGGTGGGTTATTTATTCCATATATTTAACTTTGAAGTAGCTTGAAGGAAAAAGTCCTCCCATTGCAAGGGAAAATAAACAGATTTAAAAATCCTCAACACATTAATTTTAAAACAAATAATACCTATATGAGGTAGAAATGATGTATGGCAGAAATGATCCTATCAATTAAAACACATGTTCATGACTCCACTATAAATATGAATGTACAGCAGCAGTGATGCCTCTGGCACTGTCACCTAATTCAGTCACAACTAAACCATTGTGATGACAAATTTCATTTAGGAAACTTCAAAAGTTGTTGGAATAATAATTGTCTTCACTTACCTTGAAACAACCAGAGGGAGAATCAGCATTTTCAGCATCCTCATCAGTAATTCTCCAGGAAACTGGAAGTAACTAATTTCCTGGAAATATATGAAGAGATGCTTATTGTTTTGAGATACACACTGACTGTCTTCACAAGTGCTGCTAGAGCTGTGGATAAAATAACATTGCTAAAATCTGCACCTTTGGTGCAAAGATAGGGTGGCAAAGATAGCAGGCTTTAAAAGGTGATTTTAAAATTAAATAGATTACATAATATGTTCTTATTCAATAAACACACTGCATTGCTCATTCCTCTACAAAGGAAGACAAAAATGAAATGTGCCATCTCTTGGAGACTACTGTTAACCAGCTGCCCTGAATAATCTCTCCATTCTGCATTTTGTCTGTTTTCCTAGATGTGTTTGAAGTTATGGCTTGAACACAAATGATGTTCAGACTGACAGTGGTTTTCAGTAGCAGAAGACAGAATTGGTTTAATTTAGTTGCATTTGCTAAATGCCTTATTTTTAAACTGAGATTTCTGTTTTGTGCTCAAACAGCGCATTTATTAATGCATGTTGCTGTTTAGTCAGTCTGACTGATACAGCAGAAATGAGCACCAGCAAAGGGCTTAGTTGAAGTGTGCTGGAAGAGAATTCCCCAGGTCACTTCAGTAATATGTTCTGCTAATGATGGAAAATCTCAAATTCATTAATATGAAACACCATTAGTGTAATATAAACATCTGCCCCCCTGTGCATCTAATGCTGAAAAATATTCCCAATGTTTTCTTCAGCTGTATATGTTCCAGAATAGTATAAAATCCAGTATATTGCACTACCAGTTTCTGCAGGCCTATATTAAATGCTACATTTCATCTAGATTATATGTTCATTATTATTATTATCCATACCTGCAACATTCTACTGTGCTCCTGTGTCTGAGAGACCAGAACCCTGTGCTAACCTATTGTTTGAGAATGTGTGAAAAGACCCAAAGAACAGCTTGGATTGACAAACAGATGAAATGAAACAATTTTAATAAACACATACACATGACTTTTACTTTCAAAATCCCACCCTGAGGTTCCCCAAGGTCTTTTGTTATGTAAGTCTGGCATTTCCTGTGCGGGGACACGCTGTGAGCTGCTCTTACCTGCTGGGAGAGTCGCCTCGTCCTCAGGAAGAATCCCAGGAGGCAGCCGATGGTGACGGACAACACCGAGAGGATGAGCAAACCATTCCTTTTACAAACATCTTTGATCCGAGCGAGGATTGCATCCAGGGCCACGGCCATGCTGTCCTCCCTGCTCTTTGGAGAAGAATCAGCATCCCATGGGGAGAGAATTCACTCGCTCCTCTTGTTCGGGGTGCACGGATCTGGCTCTGTATAGATCAGATCAAATCACTTCCAGTTCTGCTTAGCTGACCTGCAAGGTCACCCCTCTGCCAATGGCCACCAAGCAAGCAGCTGGCATTATTGTTCCAAATTAATACCAACAATCCTATTATCAACTACATCATTAAGAGCCTGGAAGAAGATTAGGGGGCTCTGGAAAATTAGAACAGAATGCAGTAGTATTTCTAAAACAAGACTAGTTCAAAACAAAGTGACACTCCTGGGAGAAAGGCGATGCATTCCTCAGCCTCCTCAGTTGGGGGTCTGGACACCCAAACCCAGAAAGGGAACCTTGCAAGCCAGCATTCAAAAGGGGAACAGAGCACTTTTCCCAAAGGGCAGAGCAGGTAACATTTTGAACAGGACTATCACAGCAGGGCAAGCCAGGTGAAACTGGACTTCATTAATTAAAGCAGGCTTGTTTTTTTTTGTTTTCGTTGCCAAAAAAAGGTTGAATGAGTAGCATGAGAGACACGCATCGAACAGGAAATAGCCACAGACTGGAACATGCAAGGACACCTGTCATTAGGCATTTATTATCTTGGAAGTGAAATGATTTCACTTTTCTTCCAACCACTATGTTGATTAGAGTAGGGCCAATTTACTTTCAGAGGATTATCAGACTAAGCCACAGGGATTGCTTTCCTTTCCTTTGCTGTGTCCGCATTCAATCCCAATGCTGATTTTTATGCTATTGAGTGTCTGATAAAAATACACCACCATAACCATTCGCATGCCATGCTTTCTTATGAACGCATTTCTGTAGTTTCTGGTATATTCTAAGATTATTCTATATTTTTATGAAAGATATCCCCCACAGTACAACAAGGCTGTATTTTAACAAAATTACATTTTATACCGTGATAAAGTATTGTTGTTACATGCTCATATATGAGTGAAAAAAACCTCAGGACAGATGGAACTGTTTTTTTGGGGGGCAGGATCTCAATCCTGTGTAGTTGGTAGGACATATGGATACACACACACACACAAAAAAAAGGCGGGGGGGAATAAAAGAAAAAATATGTGGAGTCTGTATGTTGAGCATAATACAAAAAGGAGAGGATTGAAGAAAATTTTATTAACGAATCAGAACGTTTTATTAGTGTGTATTTAAGAGAACTGATCCTGAACCGCCCCAACACTTTGGTAACTTTGCTACCTTAGCAGCACGTATCCAATTGACTTGTGGAGTGGAAAAACTGAAAAACGCTTCGCTTTTCCCGGCCCCGGGAGCAGCGGCGGGCCAGGCTCAGGGGAAGCGGCGGCGGGCGGGGCCCCGGAGGGAGCGGCGGGAGGAGCCCCGGGAGGAGCGGCGGGAGGAGCCCCGGAGGGAGCGGCGGGCGGGGCCCCGGGAGCGGCGGCGGGAGGAGCCCCGGGAGCAGCGGCGGGCGGGGCTCGGCTCGGCCCTGACGCGCATCATGGCGGCGCGGCAGCTGCTGCGGGCGGCCCCGGGGCGGCGCGGGTACAGCGGCGCGGGCGCCGCCGAGTTCCTGCACCGCAGCATCGTGCCCACCATGCACTACCAGAAGAGCCTGCCCAGGTAGGGCGGGGCCCGCCGCTCCGAGGGGACGCGGGCAGGGGGCGGCGGCGGCGGCCCGGGGTGTCCGCTGTGAGGAGAGGGCACGGGGAACGTCCGCCCTGAGCCGCGGTGCGCGGCTCGCTCTGTGCGGAGCGGGCTCGGCTTTCCAGGTGTCTTTGTGACCGCTTACAAGTTACTGAAACATCCCCTTGGCGCCCAGTTTAACTCCGTGAGTGTAACGGGACTGTGCTATAGGAAACAAAACTCGGGCTCAGAGGAAGTTGACAGAGATATCGAATAGGAGATTTGTGAGGAAGCACACAGTTGTGTGTGATGTCCAGCACACAGTTGTGAGGGGGAGGCCCGAAAAGGGCTGGCAACCAAACTATTCCATCTACAGAACTGCCTCTCCCAGCTGCGGTTCCTGTCCCTGTATTTCCTTTAAGGGATTAGCTCACATCACTGCAGTACCTCTGTAAAAAGATGAGTCAATTTGTTTTTGTGCCTTATTTCCCAAGAACATTATGGTATGCTGACTGGTATCCATCTAGTTCCTTGCTTCTCTTATTTCACAAGAAACTTATGAGGCATTTGGATAATGTGTATAAATATGACCCCAACTTATATATAATAGTGTATACAGTACAGTGTGTGTATATATCTGTATGTATAGTATATATAATGATGTAAGGAGGGATATGGAAGAAAGGAGGCAAAGAGAGATGACTGTGTAAGAAACATGGATTTCATTCATACCCTTGCTCATCAAGTGCACATCTCTGTATTCCACTTCCTTCAGACTGCCAGTTCCCAAGCTAGAAGATACAATTAAGAGATACCTGAATGCCCAGAAACCGCTTTTAAATGATGACCAGTTCAGGTATGGACAAACACAGTGTCATGTTCTGCTTCAAAGCCAAGTGTTAACGTGAAAAGTGTTAACTTGTGATAGCTTTTTGACTCTTTTCTTGATTGTTGCAGAAAAACTGAAGAACTTGCTCATGCCTTTGAAAAGGGTATTGGAAGAGAGCTGCATGAGCAACTGGTTGCTCAAGACAATCAGAACAAGCATACAAGTTACATCACAGGTATGTTGGCCTGCTAAGTGTAGGACAAGCCTGTAGATCATCATGCTTCACAACTGCTCATAATGCTATAACTTAGTTTGGGAGGCAGAAGTGGTCAGTACTTGGAACTTAGAAGCCCTTAAAACGACATATTCTTTTAAAGAGCCCAAGAAAAGGAGTGACAGAAATAGGAAAATGAGAATAAATAGAAACATACCAGGAGAAGGAGAGCATGTATATAGAATTTTGATTGTTCTGCTTTATTATTGCTTCCACGTACAAGTGTCTGCTCATGAAAGTATTAGATAGCAGCAGAGATGTAAATAGTAAAATACCTATGGAAGTAGAAGTTTCTCTGTTGCCCAGTGAATGCACTTCTATCCTTGCTGTCTGTTCAGACTGCCTGTTAAGGTGTTAGCTACCACTCAGTAATAAAAAATATTGTTTAGTTTGTTGTATTTTACTTTCCATTCACTTTGAACAACATTTTGGGTTTTAAGTGGTGCCTTTATGTTGTTCATCAGTGCTAACCAGTATGCTGCTTTTTGTTTATGAATGGTGGGGTTGTATTGCTTTTTGTTCAGTTATTTTTCTTCTTTATGCCTCATAAAAGACCTGTTCCACTTGAAATTGGTTTCTGGAAGTATGTAGAGCTGTCTCCACCCTGAGCTTTCAAGTCTGGGGTTAAAAGGCTACGTGTTGATGACAGATGTGGTTTTAAAACTGTAGATGAGTGTTGCTTACTTACTTGTGGGAACCTGTAATTAAAGTTGTAACTTAGCTTCTGGAAGTACCCATTTCCCTTCTTGCAGTCCAGGTAGAAGGTTCAACCTCAGTGAGATGCACTCAGTGATAAGAGAGTTGCAGAAATTAATAGTTTAAGAGTAGGTAAAGGCATGAACCACTCCAAATTTGAGGTGGGCACCAAAATAGAGCTGGGGAGCTGCACTGTATGTCCTGGGAGCTAAGGTTTATCATTGAGCCATAAAGTAAACAGGGAGTTGGCCCTTGTTGCTAATTACATGGACACCCTTTGACATGGATTATTCCAAACCCAATATTTTTGTGATTAGCCAACAGTATCCTTCTTTATAATGGGGGTTTGAAGAAGCCTTGGGTGAATTATTGCAGGTGTTTGTCTTGTTTAGAGGCACTTTAGTGTGTGTTTATTCGTGATCATTGTTGGACTATGTGATACTGTGGTCTGATTCAGGAAGCTGCTTTTCTGTTCTGACCTCTTTCTCAACTCTCAATTTTCAGGTCCCTGGTTTGACATGTACCTAAAAGCACGTGAGCCTGTTGTTTTGAATTTTAATGCATTTATGTCTTTTAATCCTGATCCAAAATCGGAATACAACGATCAGCTCATACGAGCTACAAACATGACTGTTTCTGCCATACGTTTTATGAAGACCTTCAGGGCTGGTTACCTTGAACCAGAGGTTTTTCACCTCAATCCAGAAAAAAGTGACACTGAGATCTTTAAAAAAATTATCCGATTTGTGCCTTCTTCAATTTCTTGGTTTGGTGCCTACATGGTCAATGCTTACCCCCTAGATATGTCTCAGTACTTCAGACTTTTCAATTCTACACGGATTCCTAAGCTCGACAAAGATGAGCTTTATACAGATGAAAAGGCAAAACATTTATTAGTGTTGAGAAATGGAAATTTTTATGTGTTTGATGTTCTTGATAGAGATGGAAACATGTTGGAACCCTCAGAAATACAAGCACACTTGAAATACATCCTTAGTGACAACAGTCCGGCCCCGGCCTTCCCTCTTGGCTACCTCACCAGTGAAAACCGAGATACATGGGCATTGCTGAGGAAGAATCTACTGGAGAATGGTAATGAAGAAGCTCTTCAAAAAGTAGATTCTGCCTTGTTTTGTTTAAGTTTAGATGATTTTGCCGTTAAAGACTTTGTGCACTTGTCCCACACTATGTTGCATGGAGATGCTGCAAACCGCTGGTATGACAAATCATTTAATCTTATCATAACTAAGGATGGCACTGCAGGAATTAATTTTGAACATTCCTGGGGAGATGGTGTGGCTGTGCTCAGGTTCCAGAATGAAGTTTTTAAAGATAGCACCAAGACACCAGCCATCAGCCCCCAGTCCCAGCCTGCTTCAGTCGATTCTTCCAGAGCAGTGCAGAAACTTGACTTTAAGCTAAACGATGCCTTAAAAGCAGGGATTACCAAAGCCAAACAGAAGTTTGATGCCACTGTAGAATCACTGTCTCTTAATATGATTCAGTTCCAAGAAGGGGGCAAGGAGCTTCTAAAGCAGAAGAAGGTGAGCCCAGATGCTGTGGCTCAGCTGGCCTTCCAGATGGCTTTCCTTCGCCAGTATGACCAGACGGTTGCTACGTACGAGTCTTGCAGCACTGCAGCTTTCAAGCACGGCCGTACAGAAACCATACGTCCTGCCTCTGTCTACACAAAGAAATGCTCTGAAGCCTTTGTCAAGGAACTCTCCAAACACAGCACAGAAGAGCTGCAGAATTTGATAGTGGAGTGCTCCAAGTACCACGGCCGTTTGACGAAAGAGGCTGCTATGGGTAAGTAGGAATACATCAAACACTCCTCCTTTTGCACTAAAATGTCTAGTAAAGTTGCTGTAAATATTTACAACTAAATAATTTAATGTTGATGGAGGTCTAATGTAAACTTGACAGTAACAGTAGAAGGCTGCTGTTTAAAGTACATTCCTTCATTCTCACTCATTTCTTGATGGAGGAATGCCTCTGTTCTTCCCACAGCATCGTTCATGTGTTGAGAATTTTTTATACTCCAGTTTTTGTCCTTAGAGCAGTTAGTGCATGGTGAACAAGAACTTTAGGTTAAAGTCTGAAGAGGTACTGTCTTACCTCTCTTAACGATTTTCAAATCAAACTCATTTTTGGCTATGCTACTTACTCCTGACATTTTTGTAAATGCTTTCTTTTGAACTGTCCTGCCTAGAAGCATTAAAATTGACAGCAGTAAAACTGACTGTTGATTATCCCACAGTCTAAAATTTGCCTCCTTTTGTTGGTGCAAGATGCTCTTCCTCTTTATATTAATAAATTTTAGGAAAGGCTTTTTCTGCATTGAAGAACTTGTCTATGTTCAGATAAATAGTTAATAGTGATGTATTATTAAAATTGTCTGTTAACACTGCATTTTTGTACTCCTGATTCTGTTGAGGTTTGCAGTAAAACAAGCAGGCACTCTTTTCCTAGGATATGGGCATGAAAAATATTTCCTACCAGTACAAAAATTAACTCCAGTTCTCCAGAGCACTTTTGTGGCTGAGGTGAGTTTATTTCTCTCTAATATCTATTGTTTTCTTTCACCAGGCCAAGGCTTTGACCGCCATCTCTTCAGCCTGCGCTATTTGGCCTTATCCAAGGGGCTGGCACTGCCGGATTTCTATCAAGACCAAGCCTATGCTCGCATTAATCACAACATCATTTCCACCAGCACCTTGGTGAGCCCAGCTGTGCAGCTAGGAGGGTTTGGCCCCGTGGTGTCTGATGGCTTTGGAGTAGGGTATCAGGTACAAGATGACTGGATAGGTTGTAATGTTTCCTCTTACCCAGCTAGGAATGGTAAAGAATTCCTTCAGTGTATATACAAGTCACTAGAAGATATCTTTAATGTTTTAAAGGGCAAGAAAATTGGTAGTTAAGACATAAAGACACTGCAACGCTTTACAGTTGCAGAACAAAATGCAGATTATGTCTAATTGACATACTAATCAGTATTCAGCATGGCTGAGACTGCCCAGCTTAATTGGCTTCATGTAATATCACTGCACTTGAATACTGTTAGATTCACTAGGAAATTTCTATCTATTTTAAAGAAATTTATTACAGACCTTGAATGCATTTCAGGAAGTACAGACATTAACTATGTCAAATTGAATAACAGATCCATGTGTTCTTAAAACACATAATCTAAAATAAGCATTTTTATTGAGTTAATGAAGGTAGAACACCTGTGTTCCACGAGTGTTCAGACAGACTATAGTACTGTGATACCACTCTTGAACTGTTTGGTTTTAAAGAAATACATAATACATGCAATAATTTTAAATATGGAAGAGTGGTTCCATTTGCACTGTTGCAGTAAGCTTGCTTACTAACTTGTCAGAATTATCTCTTTAAACTTGAATTTATATCAGAACTGATTGTGCCTCAACTGCTTGAAGCCTTTCCACTGTAGCAGGTTTTAGAGACACAAAAAATGAAGTGGAAGGCTTTAAAGTAACCTGCAGTCACCAACTGGGTTGTTAAACTGACTGGAAAAGACTATTTTAATAAAGCTGTCTCTTAATAACCACCAAGTTCTTTTATTGCCGTATCTAAATTGTACAGCATGGGTAGACTCTTTATTAATAGCTCATGTTTCTTACAAGGTTGGAAAGAAAACTGCTGCAAGCATTGTGCACTCTGTCTGAGCTGTAGACCTTGAATTCCTGCCTTTTACCCTCTTGATTTCCACTCTTTTTCTTCTGGGAGGCCGAGTCTTTCTGTGGAACTGCATTGCACAGTGGTGTTGGTTTCTGAGATCTGTGTAAAACAATGCAGCTCATGTCCCACTGGCCTGGACAACCAAATACATCAGTGGAACACGAAAGTCTGAGCACATTGCTTGGATGTGACAGATCAGGTTCAGAGGCTCAGAAACTACCTCCCTTGGCCCTTCCTTTGGATATCTCAACTTCCAGGTTCTCCCAGGGTCTTTTTAATTTAGCACAGTAAGTGTAAGCAATACCATGTCCTGAAGTATGAAATAAAAGTGCTAGCAGGGGAGAGGCATGCTTTTCATATGTAAGCCTGAAGGCTTTGCTCCTGTAATGTTAAGCCTGTAATCCTGGCAAGATTGTGTGTGCACTTGCCAAGGAGTACAAAGTCTGTCTTCAGCTAAAGATGAGGTTTACTTAATGATATCCTTGGAAAGATAACTTGCTTTTCAGAAGACTGCAACTGTGTAAATGTCAGCAGCAGTGAAGCTTGTTGAACTAAGTGTTCACAGGAAACTCACCTCAGTCTTTACCTGGAGTGGCAGAAAGCTGCTTAAAGGTGCAGCTGTTCCCTTGGACAGTTAACACAGTGCCTTTAGTAATGCTTGTAACCATTTCCTCATGATAGGAGTGGTGAGTGGGAAGAATTTATTTGCTTATGTTAGAGCATGTGCATACTTCCTGGTGACCAACTATTAAAACCTTTAAGGCTGTAAGTTGTGTAAGTAATTATTGCATCCATTTATTACAGCTAAGCTACACTCCACCACAACCACCTAATTCCAAAACCCCACAGCATTAAGGACATGGCACAGTTCAGTCAATATGTACTATTTTCAGTTTGTACTGAGGCCATCTCCAAGTGCTCCATGGGAAATATTTTATTAGGGCATGCTGGCAACAGAAAGTACAACTCAGTGATGTCGGTCAAAGGTTGAACTCGATCTTGGAGATCTTTTCCAACCTTAATGATTCTCTGAGCTTGGGTTTCCATTTCTGAAGTGCAGCCATGTAAAAAAGTAACTCCAGGGAAGCTGCATATGTGATGTTTACAGTTCCTCCATCAATAACCATGTCATAATATTTGTTTGGAGTATGAACTTCAGCATTTTACAAATTTATGGGTAACTTCATAGATTCCAACAGATTCCTTTGTTTTTTCATCATAGTCATTCCAGTCCTGTAGGAAGTAAGATTTCACAGTTAGTCACAGAGGATAGAAGGCAGACAGACTGGAATTCAAACTGGAACTAAACTTGACTCAAAGTTTGGATCTTGGATATCTGCAGAAAGTTAAATTTTAACAGGTGAGAGTAGCAAGAGCACTAACCTGAAATTAAATGAGCTTCAGTCTCAGTGTTTTTATATTTATATATAAATTGCTGGGGTTTATTTTCTTAGGTAGTCCCCAGCCTGTAGTGGACAAACAGCAGGCATGGCAGGTGAAAGGATTATCTATCATTTACAATACCCTAGTCAGGTGGGTAAGCAGACAAGCAGATCCCTGCCAAGTAGGATACCAGGGAACAGATTTGACCTTGAGATTCCTGCTCACAGCCAAGGAAGATTTGTAATGCTGGTGTCATTATCCTGAGCTTTGAAGGACAGTGTCTATATTACTTTTTAACCTCTCTGTGCACAGGACAATGGGCAGGGATCTTCCTAGAAAAACAAAGTCACTCCTTTAATAACCCCAGCCATTTAGTATTCCACGTTCTTGCTCTCTGGAATTCCCGAGTGACTTAAATCTTTGTCAGCTGCTAAGTTAACAAATCATTACTTCTAAAATGACAGTTAGTAATGAAACTTAATTCAGTTTCTCTCTCCAGCTGTGGCCTTCCTGTGGCTACAGGAAGAGCAAAACCAGTCTAGGGTGTGTATTTTGGACTAGTGAGGTGGGGAAAGCAAGCTAGATAAGTAGTTTTGCTAATGAAACTAAGACAACATACCTTTTCTAACAAGTTTATGTCATTGAAAGGTGTGCCAGATTCTGCACCTTCAGCAGCAAACCCTGCCTGCAAACACATTTGCAGAAAGTTTTTAAAATTAAGTTGTAAATATGAAACATTTAAAAATTTAACAATATGATCATTGAAACATTTAAAGGAAGTAGGTCAGCAGAAAAAGGTATTCTATTTCTTTAAAATTAGGTAGAAAGAATGGGCAAGCTCTTCCTAGTTAGGGTCAGTATAAGGCTGGGACCCTGCTTGTGCATTGGGAAAATTCAATCCAAGCAGCCAGAGTAAGATGAGGGAACACTGTTCCTCTATTTTTCCCAGCAAAAAAAGTATTTCCAAGTATTCTAGATAATGTTAACCCTTAGTTTCTAAGTTTATGTAGCAGCATCCAATTACTACTAATAGCTTTGTGTTCAGACTCCACACAGGCATAATAGCTTCATGTAAGGAAAGTAATAGAAAACATGGAAGAAATTAATAGTTCTAGCTTGAATATTGTCAGAATCCAAAACACTCTAAAGAAGGAGCAGCTTGTATTGGATTTATGTACACAAGTGACAAGCAAGCTTTGTGTGTAAGGAGGATCAGCTGGCTGAGTGAACAGATTAGTGTCCCAAACAAGCATTTTACAGGGGACAGTTCTTCACTGCCATCTGTTTGCCAACAGCAAACACTGTTCCTGTTTTTAAAGAGGGGAGAAAGGACAGCTCTGGGAAGGTGCTCTGGTTTATCTTCTATAGGAATAGCTCTCTCACTTTAGGCTTCACAGTTACCAAGCTGTACTGTAAGATTTACTAGTTTTAAAAGTACATTTAAAAATCCCAGCCACTTCTGTAGCATGCAGTAAGGTTTCTTACATCGCAAATTCTAACTACAGAATTTTATTAACAAGTGGCTAAAAATCAAAGGTGGCTTCTTCCTGGTTTTCTGCAAGGAATCTACACTTGAATTTTGGATAAAGAAATCCCCACTAGTGCTAGTCAGACATTTAGCTGTAAAAATGTGCAAAGTAAGTCATAGGACTTTAAAATATTTGGGCATTTGAATGGAAGGTTAAACACTTGGGAGTTAAATGAACCACAGAGTGTGGCAGATCTAACAAATCTAACAACAGGAGAGGGATCTGCAGGGCACAGTGGCCTTTTGGTGACTGTGAGAAGCCCATATCAAGGGAACTGCTGAGGTGGAGAGGAAGATCATCAGCCTGGGTCAAAACTGAGCTAAGTATAGAACAAACAGCAGAAAAATGAAAGAAGTCCTTCTTTTGCCACCTGGAGCCATTCACCAGCCATGTGACTGCAACTGCAAACTTCTGCACTAGGTCTAAAATGAGGATTTATATCAGAGAAACAAAGGATACTTTCTCCTCTCTAACACTGAAATGCTTTGTGGTGGTGGTTGGGTTTTTTTTTAGTAACTACTATAATTTAAATAAGACACGCAAGCATTAAGCCACATTGACTCCAGGTGTTGGTTGTATTATATGTACCAAAAAACAGCAGAGAAAATACAGTGATTCTATGGCCACATCCCATGTTTAGAGCTAATCAAAAGTGAGATCTAGGGTTGTGCAGAAACCAGGCTGGCTTGGATAATGCCAAATATGAAGCAGTTGACAAAATTGTTTGGAATTGCTGAAGTCATTTGAGCATCAGAAAACTCTCATTTACTGATTTAGGCACTCAAAAATTCACTGAAAGACCTCTTCAGGGATTCAAGTACTCTCCAGTCAAGTGCACCAAACTCAGAATATTAAATTAAAATTTTTGTTACAAAAATTTTGTGAAGTCTTTGTTCTGTAGATGGAATTCACAGCTACAATGCAGAGCTGTAAACATCTACATTTTGTAGTCTTCCCATATTTATCTTCAAGTGCAAGTTCTTAAGTCTGATTGCAAAGCTTTCAAGCAGGAATAAACTATTAACCATTCTGGGATAAAGGAATAACCATCAAAAAGATGTATTTCACTTAAATAAAGACCGCCCCCAGCACACTGCAGTGGGGATTCTATTTATATCAAATTCGTGGTAGGGTCGGCTTTTTTGGGCTTTTTCTTAGCACAGCATCCCAGTCTGAGAGAAGGATAAGAGAGGTTTATATTTGTCAGTCTATTAACAACTAATCCGACTGGAATAATAGGTTAAATATAGCAGGGAGTTAAGTGGCATAGAGCATGACCATGCACAAGAGATGAGTCACTGCAGACTGGCCCTGAAGAATCCTTTAATTGAACCTTGCTTTGCACCAGCCTCTACCTACCACTCATCTTCTTTTGTCTGCTCAAGCTGCAAATGGGAAAATGCCCGTGTTCATTTCCTGTGGCTCTGGTGATGTCAACCCCACAGAAAATCTGTTTTTTTAGAGGACACAAACTGAAATGTGTTCATACCCTGAGCTTGATGAGCTCCGTAATGCACCAAGGAGCAAGTGGTAACTCTGTCTGATGCTGCACTTTCCCTTTGGGAAAGACTCTCTGGCAATAACCTGAGCAGTGAAGACCTCTCAGATGAGTTCAGATTAACAGTGAGTCACCTGTGACACAGTTTGAGTACGACTCCAAGGTGTGCTTAGTTTTAGAATTTACTGGCACAGAGAATAGCAGCTGTTTGTGTGAGCTGTTTGCAAGGTTTTGGTTTGTTTGTTTTTTTTCTTGAGTCAAATGAAGTAAAACAAGGAACTGTGGAAGGATGGGAATCTGGGAAGGTCTAAGATGTTCCAGAACCATTTCAAATAGTATGTATTTTACCACTATAGAAGAAGTGCTTTTAAAACCAGAAATGAATCACAAATAAGAACTCACCTGTGGTTGAAAGTCAACTGGTTCCAGACCTCGGCATTCAAACTCCACAATTGTTTTGAATTTCTCGCTGTCTTCGGCCTGTGATTGAGTTAAAAACCCATTAGTTTCCATCTAATAGAGACAGTACCAAGCATTAGTCTAGGAATGGATTGCTTTAAAGGCAACACTGTCATTTGTGATGCCCCAGGGGACATCAAAACCCTAGGGCTCATTTCACAGGTGGTCACTAAATAGAATTTCTTAATCTGCCATGAGGAAGTCTTCAAAAGGAAACGTAGAGGGGCATTATAGAATGACTGCTAATTTGGGTGAAACAGTTCTGTGCTGGCTTTTGAAATGTATCAGATTATTCTACACTTGAGACAGCAGGAGTCTACAAGACAATTTCTGTCCAGGGACAAGACCAGCTTTTTGTGTTCTTGAAGGATAAAGCAAAAACTCAAAATACTGTTAATGCTTGTTTATCTTTCACTTGTTACATAGAAGAGGAAACAAACTTACATTGTAAGGCTTGATTGTCTGACTTAAAATATCTAAAACAAAACAAAAAGTATACAAGTGAGTGGCACTATGTCTTCAGTTTTATTCAGCACAAACCAAGCACCAGGATCTTCTTTCATAGCAATTTCCTTATACAAAGCAAAAGAAACAAAGCAAGCATTTCCTGCAGCTGGTCTTCAAATGGTACAATTCAGTTTTTCTCCCTTCTCCTGAGAAGTTTACACTGCACCATTTTTCCATACCAATGCCAAAAAGATTTGCATGCTTTTGTAAAATAGCAATACAGATGAGATTTGTTCATGCAGAAGCCTGGACTCACCAGGAGGCCCTGCTGTCTCCCTGAACGTGATGGCCAGAACGTGCCTGTTGGGAACTCAAGCACCAGTGTACAAGGGAAGAAATCCCTGGTGAAAGCTCTTTACAAAGGGTGTCAAGCAAAAATGGGGACAAAAGATAAGCTGTAAAATGATGATGCCTGGTCAGTGTCCAAGCACGTACCGATGGAGTTCTCCCTGGAGCACAGCTTGCACTTCTGCACCATCGTGGCACTTCCTCGGCCACCTTTCAGGGGAGCACTGTCCTAAAATCCGTGACAACAGAGACATTTTTAACCACTTCAGCAGAGCCACTGCAAACTTCTGCAAAGGTAAGGTAGTTTTTACAATGATCTTTAGCTTTCTAAAAATACTGCAACAAGGCAGCTTTCTTTTTTAACGACAGAGATTAGTAATTTAACAACTTGTAATTTATCAAAGAATAATTCTGTTCTAGATTTTACATAGGGAATAATATTTATGTCTTATCCACATAGGCACGCTCTACTAATTCTTCAAAATACCTTCAGCTGTATGCAACAAAAATGGATGATTATTGCTGAGAAAAGACAAGGATCCCTGACAAATTTTATCCTGCTTTTTCAGCTTCCAAATGCTGATTCAGCATGCTTAAATCATGTTGATTTACCTAACCACCTCCAAAAGGATTCTGTCAGCATCAGAGAAATATGCTGCATGTACAACCTTATTTTGATACCACTTCAAAAAATTTTTTAAAATTATATTTTTACAGAGAGGTATTTTTAAAAACAGGTGTAATACTTTGTTACCAATGGTCACCATTTAAATGGCATATGTCAATTAACACTCTCCAAATACTTCTTTTAATATGGAACGTGACAATTATCTAAATGCATATAGCTACTAATGCATATAGCTAGAGGGTAAGCTGTCACATCTTTGATGCGGATACGTGTATAAGAGGCAAGTTTGTGTTCTCATTTTTGCTCAGAGGTAGGTTACGAGGGGCACACGCACCATCAGCCGCAGGTACTGCCACTTTTCGGAGACTTCACCGCAGTTCCCACATTTCAGCTGGAGAACACAAATCGCAAGGTTGAAAGCTGTCAGTAATCAGGGACATGCGCCGCTCCCGGCCCCGGCCCCACGGCCCCGCACCTTGAGGTACCATCGGAAGTCCTGGCCCTCGGCCCGCAGCCGGGTGATGTTCTCCAGCGTGGCGCGGAGCTGCAGCCCGATCCTCTGCAAGGCAAGCGGCGGAGCGAGGTCAGCCCCGGCCGGCCCGGCTCCCCGCTACCGCCACGGCCCGGGGGCTCCGACCAAAGCTCCCCCCGCTCCACGGCCCGGGGACTCCGGCCAAAGCTCCCCCCGCTCCACGGCCCGGGGACTCCGGCCAAAGCTCTCACCTACCCCCATGGCCGAGCGGAGTCTGGCGCTTCCCTGCTCCCCACCGCCGTGCCCTCAGCCAAGATGGCGGCTCCGCGCTCCCTGCCCGGCTGGGCCGGCGCGAAGCCGCGTCTGCCCTGAGCCAAGATAGCGGCCGGCCAGCGCCCCGCCGCGCGGGATGGCGGGAGGTGTCTGTGGGAAGGAAGGAGAGCGGGAAGCACTGGTGTTTTCAACATTACACGTCAATTAATCACGTTTTGTTTTTTAAAAGCAGTGTCTTCTTAGAGAACACAGACGTGTTAAGAGAAAGCAAAAGCGCGGTTTGGCAGCACTGCCACGGGGTTCACCCTTAGGGCTTGTGGGGGAGCCCTCAGTGTTTTAATTAATGCTGAACAACAGATCTGCTAGCCCAGAACTAAACTAAATGCATTCTAGGTTGCTTTTCAGCTTCTCTGCAGCTGAAGTGAAGATCCTGGATGGCTCCTGGGTGGCCTGTTGTTTGTCTCTGCTCTGGAAGCAAGCAGGTAATGCTGGGCTGGGATGAAGGTGATGTGTCTGCTATAACCAGTCAGATGTTCTTTCCTTCTGTTCCCAACAGAACACCCAGCTCAGGACAGTAACAAAAGTTTGGCTTCACAGATGGCAAAAATTTCATTTCACAGAGACAGGCTTCATTCCTTTTTCCACTGCTTCATAGAGAAGTACAATGTGTGGGAGATACAAGGGACACACTCTGAATGCACCATTATAAAAGAAGTGTTAGAAGTCAGTCTCGCACCACAGCTTAAAAATTAAAAATCCAAATCTTACCCTTTTATTGAGTCATTGACAGTTTGTAACAACAGCAAAAACAACAATCAAAAAATAATCTAAAATACAAAAAAATTTCAGAAACAGTGAAGAACTGGAACAGGCTCTTCCCTTCCCACCCCTACTGCTAACACTGCAATAGAAACTTCAGTTTGTCTGATTTAAATTGGCTTAATCTTGAAGTGGAGTCCAATAAGACTGAAGACGAGACATTTAAGGTCCTGGACCAGGTAGTAGAACACTCTCAAGCCTTCTGGATCTCTGCAGTGCACAACAGAAGGAAGAAAGGGGGAAAGAAAAAAAATTAAGACTGATGCTCTTAGAGAACAGATTACAGAACTAATGTATTAAAAAAACCCAAAGCCTATATGGGGCTTTTTAGATGTCATCTTAGACATTGACAGATTTGTTTCATTCTACACAGGTAGATTAAATATTCTGTACTCCAACTGTGAATATTTTAAGTATTTTAAAAATATGCATTTCTATCATGAAAGCAAGTATCAACAACACTTGGGATGTTACCCCCCTCCCCCTCAACAGACAGTCTTTACAGCTTAGGTGAAATACAGAGTACCTTGTACCAAAAAAATTGGTACAAACAGGCCAATGGCAGCTCAGACTCCGTATGTGTGTAACAGGGTTCCTACAGCAAGGTCTGCTCTCAGTGAGTTTGAGAACACAGCCTGCAATGCCACAGTCTAAAGGCACTGTGCTGCAACACAGAGCACTGGTGGCCCCAGGAGACGATTTATACTTTGAAACAATTTAAAATACACGTACCAAATAATCAAAAAGTTCTAACAGATTGGTAAATAGAAACAAGGGCAGCACAAGAAACAGAGTACGTACTTGGACTGATTTACATCAATGAGGGAACCGATTTTTGACGTGGTAAAGGAGATGTGCTCATCGCCAATTACTATCTCGAGCTCCTGAAAAATAAAAGGTTATAGGAACTCACTGCTTCATGGTACCAGTTACAGAAATACTTCAGTACTGTTTTTATGGTTTTTATTTTTTATTACGAATTTCTATAACAAAGATATCAAATACAGCAGGTCTTTGGATCGTATTAGCATCCCCAAGTACACTGCCATTGAGGCACTACTCAGGTTTTAAAAGCAGTATTTGTTTCCCTTTCGGCTGGAAACAGTGCTGGCTTGAAGAAAAAGTTTAGTTACGCTTCCAAGGAGCTAACATAGGAAAATTAAAATTAAAGAGCAATTGGAAGAGATACTGTGCACCCTACCTGTCGGCCCACTCTGTCAGGAGGAGGCCACAGAGCATCATCTTCTTTTGTGATTTCACTGTCGTCGATTATTCTCTTCAGCTCCTCCATCACACTCTTGTGCACGTAAGCCTGGACACAACATTCCGGCAGAGAAATAAATACAACCCTGCCCACAAGGAAATCCCACCCCCAGCCTTGCCCAGAGTCCCTTTAGCTGGCCCATCGCGTTCAGCCGCGCTGCCCTCACCTCTTTCCGGATCATCACATCGTTCTTGTAGTTGCTGTTGTTGGCGTAGCGCAGCTTACCTGTGGGGAGAGGCCGGGCATTAAAGCACGCTGGGGGTACCCGCGGCCCGCCAGCCCACCCTCCCTCCCTCCGGCAGCGCGGCCCAGCTCCCCCGGGCCCCCGCCCCGCTCTCACCGTCGGGCCGGAATTCGAACTCGAGGAATTCGTGTCCGAACTTCCCCTTGTGCCCCACGTAGTAGCGCAGGTAAAAATCGCTCGCCATGGCCGCGCTGCCGCCCGGCGTGTACGTCAGGAACGGGAGCGGCGCGCGCCTTCCTGCCGCCAGGAGCGGAGCGGCGGCGGGCGCGGCGCCCCCTGGCGGGCGGCGGTGAGTAACGCCTGCCTGTGAGGGGCGAGCTCGGGCCGGTTCCGTCAGCGGGACTGCACCGGCACCGAGCCCGCAGCCGGCTGGGACACAGCCGGAACCCAGCCGGGACCCAGCGGGGACACGGTCTAAAGCCGCCTGGGGACAGCCCGTAGCGACGCTACGCGGTGTTATAGGTGAGGGGTCGCCGCATCTCCGCTGTTCCCAGGGCAGAGTGCCAGGCCCTCGGCGGGCCGCGTGAGGGAACAGTGATTCACTCGTTACTAATAAGAGAGTTCTAGTGATATTTAGTCATACTAATGAATGAAAGAGATGATGTGTACGTGGCCATTTGTGATGAGCACTGATGGTTGCATTCAGAGCTATTGCAAGAACGTGATTCACCTCATTATGCTGCACTCCTTTCCAAGTTAGAAGGGGCCCACAGAACCATTAGATTTATATTTTGATTAAGTGGCCCATCCAAGGATCGAACCCGTGACCTCGCCATTATCAGCCCAACATGCTACCGCCTGGGCTAGTCCCAGAGAGGGGGGTGGCCTTCCAGCAGAGGAGTCAATCCCAGAGGCATTTCCTGAACTCCTTTGTGCACCGAAGGAACGAGCACCGTGCATTTATGATTTGAAGCAAAATGAATTACAAGTGGACAAATTTCTGTCTTCTGAAGCAGTTTGGTGCCTCACTGGGATTGCTGTGTTGAGATCCCTCATCACTGGTGGCCTGAGGTTTGAGAGTAAAGGGCTTTGGGGATAAATCCTGCCCTTTTCTGCTTTGGGAACTGCTGAAAGGAGATAGCAAGAGACACATCCTTTGGTAAAATATTCCCTTCTGCAAGAAAAGTTCAGAAACAGAGTGTCTCGTCCTCCTCACTAGATAGGACACTTTTTATTGAGGGCACAGAATGGGGAGGGTGGTTTGTACTGTGGTGGTGTTGGAAATGGGTTTGCACTGATGAACGTGGTTTTATTTAGATGGTGCTGCCTCACATCCCATTGCAGGGCTAATGGAGCTCTCTCTGCTTTCCTTAGAGTTACAGCAAGGCTAAGTCAGGCAGTATTTACTCTTATTCATTGTTCTTCACATCTTTGTGCTTGAATATTCTCCGTTGCATTCTGCATCCTTTAGGAATGTCCATTCTATAAAAGTTGTTCCTTCAGTAGAAGAGTCCTACTGATACATAAATAGCCATCCTGTTGCTTTATAATATCTGCAGGTACTGCAAAGAAATTAAAACATATACTTAAAAAATGTAACATCTGTATTTATATCAGATTGAAGGATTTTTGGCAGAATTATTATCCTGCTTATTTTGTGAACTTGGTTGTCCAATCTAAAGGTAATCTAAAGTTATTGTCTGGTTTGTCCCCAAGTTTGGAGGTTTGGTTTTGTTTGGTTTAGGGATTTTTGTGAGAGAATTATTCCTGTAATTGTCTAAATTGTTTATAAGCCTTTTCAGGAATATCAGTGCTTAATGTAAATTTATTTAAATTCCTGTATTGGAAGGAAGAGCAAACTGGCATAGGAATTATCCAAAGAACCTGCATTTTAATTCCTTCTGGAGGTGTCAGCTGTCTTTGAGTTCTCTAAATAAATTCTAACATATTTTTCTGAAACTATATGTGAGATAATTTATTTTTTTTGCTGTGTATATATTAGGTTTTTTGTCTAAGTAAAATAAATGTTACGTTTGATGGCAATACAATGGGTAAAGAATTGCTGCCAGTGTTGTTTGGGTTATCTTGACATTTACAATCCCAAACATGCTATACTTGAATGCATTGGCTCAAGTATGTGTTTATGAAAGGCACAAATGCATGCACTTTGCATTCTGCTTTAAAGCATGTGTAAACAGTGGTTGTTTTGCCTCTGAAGAAAATATCTCTATAAACACATATTTTTTAGCATTATTTTACATATGATAGAAGGACTGGAATGTGACAATGTGCATATGGAATCTTGATACTGGTACTGGTTTATAATGGGTTTGGGCTAGGGGTTTTTTTTCTTTGTTTTTGCAGAAGAGCAAAATTTACATGATTTTCTTCTCTAACCTATGGAGACCAGGTATCTGTGGGACTTGGAAAAATGAGAGAAATCAGATAAACATGTTCTGAATATTTCTATTTATTTGGGGTTTTTTCTCATGTCAATGAAAAAGCAGATGGCTTGAATGAATCAACCTACTTTGGATCCATAATTTAACTTAGTTTTAGGATTGCAAGATTTGTGATTGTTTTTTGAAGTAGTTGTATTTCTGCTATTTTTTTCTCTTCACTAGAAAATGTGGAACGCTTTGGAGAACTGGGTGACTGAATTTTTTTCACAGATTGCAAATAAATCAGGTTATTTTCTGGTATTTTTACGTCTGCAACTTGTGAAATCATGTTCCAAACAGAGAATTTTATACAACTCTTTTTCCTTGTATCTGCAGAAG